AAGCATTTTAGGATATATACATACATACTGCCATTACTCCCTGACGAATATTTGATATGCATCAGAAGATGGTCATCATGCAAGGCATTTTCTTTCATGAGCTTTTCTGTCACTTTGTTGTTTTGTCGCTGTTAACTGAGTTTACAATTCTTCTCCATTCGTTCTATTGTGAGCTGCTACTTCCCACTCATTCTGCTTCTTCCCACTCAAAGCTGGCAGGAAAAACAGCAAAGCGGACAATAAAAAGAGTAAAATAGGCAGCAAAATCAGTAAAAGGCTGTTGTCTCTCAAACTCTCAAGTGTCCATATATTCATTTACCATACTAAAATACTGGATATTTGAGTATGGTAGAATATCGTAAATGTTTTTCACATAAAAATAATATAAATTATTTTAACATATTAAAATTGAACATATATTAAATATAATGAATGAGAGATATATGTTAACCAGAAATAAATGTAAATAATATTGTCAAGTTAAGAACCCTGAAAATAAATGATTATAAAAAAAAACCTATTTAAAAAGGCAATGAAGTATTATTTTAAACGAAAACCCGTGTTAAAATTTATATTTAATACTCTAATAGATCCTGTAATATCACTAAAAATTTGCCATGACATACTGACAATGTGCACAAATTAAAGATATTAACTACTCATCGTTAAAAAGAATATCTCATTAGTATATAATGATCTTATAATTATGCAGATTATACTTCTGCATATTATATTAATATTTCTTGTTTTCAGGTATCGTGAGATCCCGTGTTCAAGTATAAACGGTAAGTTGTCATTTCTCAAAAATACATCAAATGAATATGCAAGGTAAAAGTTTATGTTTATTTGACATTACGTTGATGTCCTTATTGCAGTGGCGGCTCGTGGGTATAAAATTAGGGGAAGAGTTAAATTTTAAAATTGCGCCGTAGGCGAAATTTTTTTTGGCGCATTCACCATTTTGTCAACATTTTTTAAAATATTATTTGAAAATTTTTTGCTGCATTCACCATTTTGTCAACATTGTTATTGTTATTATTTATACACTAATATCTAAAATATTTTCGTTTTAGTTTGGGCTAAAACACATTAAGTAAAAAGAGATACAACCAGTTTTCGATAAACACATTATTTTGCATTCCAGTGAAAATATAAATAAATTTATATTAAATATAATAAACATTATATACAGTGTCCCTCATAAAGTTGGATCCATATGGACGTTTTTTTATATTAGAGTTTTAAAAAATCTTTTTGTGGCAATCATTTCTGCTTTTAAAGCAACTTAAAATGCACCAAGTCAAAGTTGACAGCTAACATCTGGGAGCTGTCAAATACAAAATATTTAAAAGAAATTTTTAAAAATTGGTTAAATTATTATTATTTTAAAAAAGCTGACTAACAAAATTATGTTTCACCTTTGACTTGGTGCATTTTAAGTTGTTTTTAAAGCAGAATTGATTGCCACAAAAAGTTTTTTTTAAACTCTAATACCAAAAAAAACCGTCCATATGGATCCAACTTTATGGTGAACACTGTATTTATTGAAGGGCTTCCCCGAAAAACGTTGTAACCGACTTTTTTTTTTCAATTTTTACATTGAATTCAGTGAAATAAGGTTATAATTTTCATACGTATAACGTTCTTTCCTCGGTTTTTTCACTGAAATTTCGATATTGAAAAAATTGTAGGTTACCACCGAGGAGCCATTCAATTATTATTCAATTATTGCATTAATAATTATTATTATATTAATAATTATTATTACATTAATAATTATTATTACATTAATGTTTACTAAGCAATATTAACCAAAATAAATTTGGCTTATTTATATTACTAACCTTACCAATTTTTGTAAATCAGCTTAATTTTTCATGTTTCAAATTGCACACCAAGTCATTGATTAGGTTGATTTTTTAACACATACACACACACAAAACAGTTTTAAAACACAGCAACAAAACAAACAGCAACAATTAACAAGTTAAATCAACAAAAACCATTAACAAGCAACAATAAATAATCAACATACATACCGCCATTACTCGCTGACGAGTATTTGACACGCATCAGAAGATAGTCACGCAAGGCGTTTTCTTTCATGAGCTTTTCTGTGACTGAAAAGCCCGATACGTGATGTTATCTGTCTACCGCACTTCAGACATTCAAAAATCTCATTGCTTTGTTGCCTCTTTACTTTTTGGTTGTCGCTTTTAACTGACTTTACAATTCTTCTCCATTCCGTTTTATTGTGAGCTGCCTCTTTCCACTCATTCTGCTTGTTAATTCCCTTTAAGTTTTCGGGGAAAATATCCTTGAACTTTTCGAGTTATCCACCCGGCCTCCTCTTACCGTCTACAAGTTCACCGTAAAGCAGAGATTTTGGTATGCGGTTTTCTTGCATTCTGCATACGTGACCAGCCCATCTTAAGCGGGACTTTGTAATCATGACTTCAATACTCTCGCAGTTAGCTTTTTCAATGACCAATACGTTTGAGACATGATGGAACCATTTTATTCTTAAGAGTTGTCTAAGATGTCTCTGTTGTAACTTGTTTAATGCGTTCATGTGTCGGCGGTACGGCACCCAGGTTTCGCTTCCTGGTGGTATTATTATCGCTCGGTACACTGCAAGTTTCGTTTTTGTGCTCAAGTCATGATTGTAGAAAACCCTGTCTTTTAATTGCCAGAATGTTCTTGAGGCGCTGCTAATCCTGTGCTGAATTTCAGAGTCGATATTGGCCTTTTCCGAAATCAAACTGCCGAGGTAATTGAATTCATATTCTATCTACATATTCCAACAGCTCATCTCCGATTTTTATAGCATTGTTGTGATCTTCTGGGGGAGTGCACATGATTAATCGAGGAGGTTTAATCGATGTTCAGCTTAAGTCCCAAGGTCTCGTTTGCCCATGTATATGTGTTCAACATTTCTTGCAATTGCTGTAACGTATTTGCAACCAGAGCACAGTCATCAGCGTATTGAAGTTCTGTGATGAATTTTGTACGTGTTTTTGCCCTTTTCAGTCTTTTTATGTTGAACAGACCGCCGTCGTATCTGTATCTAATGCCCAAACCTCTCTCTTGCAGTTTGCTGTCCACTATAATGGAGAGCGCTGCCATGAATATATTGAATAAGAGAGGCGCTAAGACACATCCCTGCCTAACGCCTGTGTTTGTTAGGAAGGGATCGCTCAGTGATCCATGATATGACACTCTTGATTTGTTGCTGTTATGGAGGCTTTTACACACTGCAAGAAATTTGTTGGGTACTCCGAACTTTTTCATAATTGCCCAAAGTGCATCTCTGTTCACAGAGTCGAAGGCTTTTGTTAGATCGATGAATGCAACGTAAAGTTTAGACTGCTGCTCTTTTACTTTTTCCTGTAGTTGCCGGATGGAGAATATGGAATCGACGGTACCGCGGTTGGTGCGAAAACCCGTTTGCGATTCTGGGACGATTTTTTCTATATGTGGGTGCAGGCAGTTTGACATAATTTTTCCTCCGATAGCCAGTAGTGAAATTCCTCGGTAGTTTCCGCAGTCTGATGCTCTTCCTTTGTTCTTAAATATATTCACTATATTCGCGTTGCAAAAGTCCTGAGGTACCTCTCCGCTTTCCCATATGACATCAAAGAGAGCCTTAAGATGACCAATAAGTTCTTTACTTGCACACTTATATGAGTCCTTTATTTTCTGTTCTGTTATTGGAATGTCTAATACATCGAGGCTGTTATACTGAGGTATTATGTTGAGTGCTTCCATATTGGGGTTGTTTTCTTGGTTAAGGATATGGCTGTAATGCTCTTTCCAGCGGTTTTTGATTTGCTCTTCCTCTTTTAGAAGTTCGCCATTTTGTGCCATGGTTGGGCATCTTGCCTTCTTAGTTGGACCGTATACTTCTTTTACAGCCTCGAAGAATTTACTTTAGATTACATTACATAGTCGTGATTACATTAGATAGTCGTGATGCGTGGCATACTCCTGAATCTGACTAGCTTTTTGCGACCACTAGTTATCCTTTAGTTGGCGCAGGTTTCTTCGGAGCGTGTTGTTGGCTGTCTTAAAGTTGTCTGCTAGTCTTGGATTGTGTGGATTTGCAGTGACGGCTTGATGTGCTCTATGCTTTTGTTCCAACAAAGCCTGTATATGTGGTTGATTTTCGTTAAACCAGTCTGGTTGTTTCTTTTTGTTGGATTTTCCCAGTACTGCTTCGCTGGTTTCGTAAATCGCATCTCTTATTGTTCCAGCAATGTTCAGCATCCACGATTGAGATTGAAGTTATCGGTGGAAGTGATTCTTTGATGGTTTCTCGGAGGGCGTCGGCGGTATCGTTGTTCTCTAGACCCAATACGTTCAATCTGGTAATGTAGCTTTGCTTTTTACAGTGTGGATGTTTGGGGTTTAACTGAATTTTCATTTTTGAGATTAAAAGTCGGTGGTCAGTGCCACATTCGGCATCTACTCTGGCTTTTGTGAGACTGACATCTTTTAGGTGCGTCCTTCGAACGATTACGAGGTCCAAATGGTGCCAATGGCCTGATCTCGGATGTTTCCAGGTACTTTTAAATTTGTCCTTCAGCATGAACCACGTATTGGTGATGCAAAGATTATACTCTGTGCATGTTGTTAATAAGCGTTCACCATTGCTATTTACGTTTCCTATTCCATGTTTTCCCAATACATCAGGCCATATTTCCTGTTGTTTGCCGACACGGGCATTAAAGTCACCTAGCAAAATGATTCGTTCGTGCTTTGGAATTTGTTGGAGTATATTTTGCAGAGCTTGGTAAAATTTATCCTTATCCTCAATTTTAGCGTCTAGGGTAGGAGTGTAGGCACAGGTATGATGTTGACGTAAGTTTTGTCTGATATAGGGTACCTTAGGGTCAT